TACAGAAACAGTATGATAATACAATGGTCTAAATTAATATCAAAGGTAAAAGTAAGAACTTTGATGAAATATACGTAATACTGGCCAACAGACTGCTCCATAATATACAGAACTACTGGTTACGTAAGTAGCAAGCGATCTTTGGTATCTCCATCTAGAAACGCGGGATGAACTGTTAGGTCTGCCAGGTCTGCGATGTAAAGACGAAAGATAGCCATCTTAAAAATGTGTAACTTGTACACATTACTGTGCTACCTGTATGCGATATTATTGTGATTTATAAAATTTAGCATCGTATAAATGTTTGTCACAGGAAGTAACTAAAAAGAAGTACAAAAGATGTTTATGTAACTGCTAATTCAAGTATTGCAGCGTACATAAAACTTCATTTGTAGATATATGCGAGGAATGTTAGTGAATATGATGTTAAACTTTAAACATCTATGGGATATTTTAGTATCGTTTCAAAAATATATCAAGAAAAGTCTCTATGAGAAACGTTACAAAAAAAACTGGTAATGTTTCATGTTTAGTGGACGTGCTTAAATTGAGAATAAAACTTCTTGATTTTAAGTATGCACAATCGACTTTCACTTAAGTTTTTCTTAAGAACACTTATGTTCAAAATAAATATGAAGGTTCTTGAATTAAAAAGTACTGTGTTTGAATTGAGAATAAAACTTCTTGATTTAAAGTATCTATAAGTTAATTTTTCTTAAGAATTTTTTAAGAACGCCCATGCTAAAAATAAATATCAGGGTTTCTTAAATTGAAAAAAAACCCGTGTTTAAATTAGGAATAAAACTTCTTTATTTTAAGTATGTATAACGATTTTTTAGTATTACATCCCCACTTTTAAATGTCGTCTAGGAACAAATTCAAACAAGAAACAAGGAATAAAGTACATATACTTAAAATTAGGGCTTCAAATTCTATAAAAGACAGAATGAATACAACAACAATGAGTTATATAATTTATTATTGGAATGGGGATTAGCATATTCAATAATAGAAAAAAATATAGGTCTGATTTGTTTTTTCTCTGAAACATCTTCATAAAGGATGATGTACATGGCACTTAATTTGATGCATAAACTATAACAATTTTGATGTTTTTCTGTGGCTACTTGTAAGCCAATAATGGCTACATTTTAAAATTATTTTATTATCATAATGTTGTATACATAATGCCCAAAAAAAGTGACATATCAAAGTTATATTTTTTTATGGAAAGCCTAATATTTTATTGTATTTATGATTAAAAATTAGTGGTCATAGTAATAATTTTGGACCACAAGTGTTAAACATAAAAAATCTGTTTTTAGAAACTATAAATGCAAAAAATGTAAGGCTTTCCATAAAAAAATCTTTATATTTTTAGATATTGTGTATGAATATCATCCATCCAGTGCTGATTAGAATCTTACCAATATCGGCAATTATGTTTATTAACAGTACTGTTCAAGCAGAATAAGAAATCGTTTTGCCTACAAATTTTCTCTAAAACCGTTTCACTAAACTCTAACCTCAGATCAATGCTAATTCTTGGTGGTTTTGAATTTTATAACGGTGGAGTTTATTTGTATGTAAAATGAGTTGTACAGTCTTCCTATAATACCTTAGCGCAACAACCATGTAACCAGTGTTCTGATAGTTTTGAGATAATTGCGCTTTAAAATGATCGCTGGTCAAAAATATTTTAGTATGTAATTTAAAAATAAAGTCAAACCTTAATCCGTTTACTGGCATTATTAATAGACATTTTTGACCAGCGATCATTGTTAGCGCAATCATCTCAAAACTATCAGAACACTGGTTACGTGGTTGTTGCGCTAAGCCCTCGATAATTTCTTCACAGTTCACATGTGCAAACGTTAAAACTAGCTACGCAGAAAGGCAGGCTCTGCAGTTAAGGTTTAAGTAACCGCCAAAAAGACAATGGTAGCCGCACCAAAGAAAACTGTTATTATTACTCCTAGAGTAAAATACGGAGATCTGAAAACTAGCAAAGACACGAAGAAACGAATGCTGACCAAACTCAAACCAACTGCCTTTGGTCTGAAACCTGATAGAATCATCAAGCATGGCGATCAGGGTATCAAATTAGCGATTTCAGAAATAGATATGAAACAAATAGATAAGAACGCTCTCAGAAGTCTCGGCCAAATATAAATTCGGACCTAGAGAAAAGCACTACAACCACTGGGTAGTACAAGTGAGTCCTGCAGTTAAAAAAACTCTTTTCCAACATAAACGCATATATCTAGGATGGTCCTCTTGCATAATTCGTGGTCATATTAGGGTTCTTAGATGCTTTAAATGCCAAAAATTTGGACACTTACAAAATGATTATAGGAGCGAAGTGGCATGTGGACATTGTGGGGATAAGCACGAGACAAGAAGCTGCCGAAAGTTACAAGAAACGCCCAAATGTGTTAACTGTATTGTCGAAAACATGAGAGAGACGGGCCACGAAGCAAGATTTCCAAAATGCCCTACTTTAACTAGAAGAACTTTAGACTTTATTTCTAACATAGACTATAGTAATTAAAGTCCCAATAGTGATAATGCAGGCAAATGTACAAAAATCACGGACAGCCACAATCAAAACCAGACCTCTAGCCAAAGAACACGGCGTTAAAATACTATGTCTGCAGGAACCATACACATACACACAAGATGGGAAAAGTAATCAGATACAACGATAAGTCAATTCAAAGAGTCCAACCCATCAAATACCTGGGTGTGATACTGGACGATAAACTAGCCTTTGGGTAACACATATCATATATAACAGACAAGTGCAGGAAAGTTTTTCAACTCCTACGAAGAGCACTAAGTAGAAATTGAGGGCAAATAGACAAATTCCAGGACGCTCTAGGTAACATATATATACCTACGCAATCATTCCCATCATCTCGTATGCGCTACCAATCTGGGGACAAAGAATAAACTTCGTTATAAATAAAAACAAAATCAAAGTTATTTCAGGAGCATACAAGCTCCACACCGGCTGAGACTCTATGTATTTTGGCTAAACAACCTCCACTACATTAACATTTGATGATCCTCACATCACTGGCTGAACTGAAGAAGATAGGATCGACCTACTTCGTAGGAAACCACATAGTAGCAACAGACTACAGATTCTGGACGGCGGTATCACTGGAGATGAAACACATTCTGATACGAACATGGCAGGTCGAATGGGACAACACCACCAAAGGCAGGCACATATACACACTCATCCCGAGTGTAGAGAATTGGCTCTCCTCCAGCACAGAACCACTCAAGCGAAAAGTGGTACACGTAAAAGTTTATAGACATTTTCTTATTATTTAAATTTTCTGTAAAATAATATAATAATTTCCTTTCTCCCATCTATTCTTTTCCTACAATTATCACTTTTTGGAAACCGGAGTTAACACTTTTCAATATATTCATCCAATATCTTACAAAATTTTCTGAATCTTCTCGATAGTTGAACCCGGGGGTTAATTAATAAGGTACCCCGCTGAGAATGGCATTATCCAAGCCTGCTCTCCTCCCAACGCCAAACAATACAGCGGACCACTAGTGCACTACGAAATAACGAAGAAAGAAGGCGCGCGTAATTGTAACTCAAGAAATACAATTGTAAATTAAAATTTCAATAAAGAATAAAAAATCCTTTCTCATCCACTCCTATGGAAAGCCTAACCAAACTCTAACCTGAACGAGTGAGGACCGTAGCTGCTAGTTACGGTCATTTCTTCCTTTTTTTTTTAGTTCACATGTAGATGTTTTATGATTTTCTTGAATATGTAGTAGGACATCTAAAGTCTGATCTTCATTAGTTGCAGTGTTTGGTCTCATCCTGTACGTTACCGGTTATATTTAATTTATTCGTTATTTTCAAAACCAAGATCTACTTATAGGAGGTCTTTAAGGATTGAATCGTTAAATAGGTGACTTACTTCTATCACCAAATCCAATCAACATTGGTATCTAGATTCGTTCTCTTTCTGATAAGTTTGCCATTATTCTTAATTCAATTAACAGCAAAACAAATCTGCACACTTTATGGTTTACATAATGTTTTTAACGTTTTTTTCATTGCCTACTTCTGTTTTTAGTTTCAGATTAACTTATCTACCAGTGGTGAAATAAGAATGGTGAAAAATAAAAATAGATTAATAGGTTTTTTATTAGTAATGTGGTGCTTTTGTATTATTTTTTAAAATTGGAAATATTTAACTTTTCTCTGATATATTACTTGATCTACGTTGCCATTTAAAAAAAAAATAATATGGCGGCGGTACGCTAAACGTGGACATCACATAAATTTGACATGTACTCTAAAAAATGCAAAATATAGTCTTCATTCATCACCCTATAATTTCATAATTATACATTCATTTGTTTCAGAGAAAATACCTTGTTGCCAGACTTTCTAGATACCCTATATTTTATGATCTTCCTTGTAAATTGTACTAGTATTTTAATATTTCTGGGTTTTAGGTCATGCACAAACTTTTGCCAAGAATCATATTTTCGAAAAAAATACAAGAATACTGAGAATTCCTTCGATTTTGAGAAACGAATAATGTTGTTTATTTTTTGTCGAAATGGAGAAGGAATTTTTCGATAAACGTCAAATACATGAGTTATATTTGTTAAGGTTATTCAACATAATTCAATCAATCAAAACATTGTATTTTCTATGTGTATTAATATGAGAAATCGACTATAAAAATAGCCTATTGTTTTACGAATGACGAATATTAATTTTTAACAACTAAAAAACTACACTTTTTCTATGAACTTTATTATGCCTATGTACTAAAATTAAAAAACCGTAAAGAAATGATTAATTGTATATTAGAAAAAACGAATTAGTTCAATACATAGTATCTGAGTTCTAAATAATGAACGTTAAAACTTTCCAACACATAATTCAAAGGGGCACATGTCCCTTTAAATTTTTATCACAATAAAATTTCACTTTTCTTATTACTTACATTTTAATTTTATTCAACACCATTTTCTTTTTGCACTTATAACCTACTTCACCGGCGAAAAATGACTGATAAATGCTTACCTTGAAAATAATTTGGAATTTAAATATTCTTAAGTAAGCGGCTGGTAGTAATAGTTAGTACTTAATAAAATTGTAAAATTTTATGGTTTAGATAATTTTCTTATACAGAGTGAAATAATAATTGATATATTTCTTAATTTATAAAAGATTAAAGAGATACCTAGATACTTTAAATACAGTATAGAAAATATAGAAACAAAAAAATAAAAAAATAAAAAATAGTTATTATAAAATTAAATTAAATGATGCAGCTGGTGATTGTAACAAATTGCAACATTAAAAAAAGGTATTGGAGATAAATGTTATACACAAACATAATAATGAAAAAGCAAACTTCTAAAATAATCTTTTAATGAATTTAGGACCTAAAAAGGCAAATATTACAAAAGAAACAATTTTTTCTGATTTTTTTCAAGCGAAAATGAAGTACAGTTAAATTAAAATTTACTCAGTTTAAATATAAACAACAAAATATTTAACTTTCTCGTTAACAATAACTGATCTCAAAATACATAAACCTACATGTAATAAAATAGTTACGAATCTTGTTTGCCAGCAAACAAGATGGAATGAACACTTTTCTTACTAACGAATAAGCGCGCCCATGCAAAATATATTATCAAAGACATTTTGTATAGAAACAACTTAATTATGATGTATAATTCGCTATAGTTTGAATAAAAATGGAGTACAGTAAAAGTGGGAATATAACCTCACATTCCATAGGCCTACTTTGCAAAATTAGGTTTTTGTAATATAAATTGCATGTAAAATGCTATATACGCACTTCAAAGATCAATTTTGAATCAAAAAAGTTATATTATTAAGAAAAAAACCTTATGCTTCTGACAAAATTGTTGCACTTTAACATTGAACGAATTAAATTTAACCAATAAATAACAAGGAAGATTATATGTTGTTAATATGATTAAATTTTTTTTAATCTCTTGCCATTAAAAGTAGCCTAAAATCAAAGATTAAAAAAATAAAAAGTTGGGACACCCGTGTGACAAGTGAAGAATTTTGATTCACATTCAGGATATATTATTTCATCCCTCAATGGGAAACCGTTGGCAATTTTTTTATTTTAGGTTGGACCTAGACTAGACACCGAGAGCTCTCTTTGTCAACGACTACATCCAATTTCTTTTAAAAACCGCCCAGTTAACATCGAAGTGAGAGATTTGACCTGTTTTATTTTTTATTATTTTATTGTTTTATTTTTTTTCTTTTTCGGAGGTTCGATCCGTTTAGTGGGTTAGAGAGCTCTCTCTTTCTCCTGATGACGTTGTCTAATTTCCCAAAAAGACGTTTAAATTAATTTCCGCACCTTACTTCGTGTAAAATTTCTTTTCTTTTAATTTTTTTTTTATTCAGCCGTATTTGAATCATTCCCCGTCCACAATTAGTTATTGAATAAAACCAGACGACTTCTGTAAAATTAAATTCACACATACGCTCTCGTTAGACTCTGGGCAAAATTCAAAAATATTATTTTCTACGACCGTCGTGGTCGCCGTCCTAAACACCGTGTAAATAAACCTTATTTATCAATAGGCGAGAATTTTGCGTTTCCATCGACAATTTTGAGTTCATTTTTTTTATTTGTTTGCATTTGATTACCGTCATATTTAAATTGTTTTCAATAATAATAATTTATTTTCATACATTTTCCGTATACTGGGCATTTCACGATTCCCAGTCCGATTAGCCTCCTGAGCTAATAAACCATAAATATTTTCAATAATAATAATAATAATAATAATAATAATAATAATAATAATAATAATAATAATAATAATAATTATAATTTATTTTTCATAAATATTTTAAACTTTAATAATTTATTTTTATTAAATTTTCCGAATATAGGGATCCGTCAATATTTAAATAATTTTCAACTTTAATAATTCATTTTTATTCAATTTTCCGGATATAGAGATCCGTCAATTTTTAAATACTTTTCAATTTTAATAATTTAGTTTTAAAGAATAGATATTCCGAATGGAGGGAGCCGTTCCTATATAGTTACAGTTGTATTTATTTTTTTTGTAAATATATATTTTAGTACCTATTCCTGTGTTTCTCTTTTTACTGGTTCTTAACCGTTCTCTTTCAGGGTACCGTAGGGTACGAGGTAGAAAGAAGATAAGTGTTTTATTTTTATTTATTCTAGTATTGTGGATACCTAGCAGTGACCGCCTGGAATTATTTTTACCTCCACTGAGTTTACCTTGAGTACACTCTGGTGTACTTCAGGGTCGCAGAGCAAACTGCGATACCAAAACTGGCGCCACACAGACTCGCTGATTCACTGTAGGTGAACCAGGAGCCTGTCACAATAGGTACAATTTCTACATATACTCCCATAATTTCTCTAATTTCATATATTTTCTCAACACTTTCGTCGTGTTGGAATGTAAGAATAAACACATTTAATGATTGTTTAGTTCTTTATTTTAGTTTTGGAGTAGCAGAAATAATTTTAAAGCCACAACATTTCAAATCACTAATTATATTTTCTGGTTCTTAAGAATGTTGAAGTTTATATGCCATTACTTTAATTAGTCTATTCTGTTTATCCTCATGCGAGTACCAAGTGTACTCTTGTTCTGTTAATGCTCCAGAAAGCATTCTATATTCTGGTCCTTCCGGAACATTAAATTTAACATTATTATCGTTGATGACTTTAATTTGGGAGTTTGGGATTTGTCTCACCATACTATGGAGTTTATTAAAGTTTTGGACGCTATCCATTATAATGGTGGTGGTGTCTTGATTTTTACATGTTTTTCTATTGTAGTGATGTTATTTTGTTGTTTTGGCTGTGGTTGCGGAGGTGTCAATGAAGTATCCATTTTTATTTTTTTTTCTGTTTTTCAAGCGGATCCACTCAGTCTCTTTTGCCAGATCTTCTTCATCAGTAAAGTATTCAGTGGGCTTAGTTGAATTATTTATATTGTAAGCCATTCTTTCTTCTATTCCTGTATATTTTTTGATTAATTCATCATTTGTTTTTATGATTTTATTTATCTGGATTTGGAGCAACTGCACCTTATCAGCAAGACTATTCCTCTCCAGTTCCGTTTGTTTTAGAGCATTGCATAATGCTTCTTCATTCTGTGAGCTTGCGGCACTATTTTCTTGGGAACTTCCATTTTATTTCTATCACTATCAATTGCTTTTAAAAATATTTTTATCGGCGATTTTTTATTATTTTTAAACACACCTAATAATGTTTATATTTTGGTTTTGTCATGTTACATTAAACACTTTACACCTTAACACGATACGAACTTGACCTACTTTGATCGTCTTGGCGAATATTTAAAATACATCCGACACCGACAAATGTTAGCTGACAACTACTAGTCTTGTAACTGGCGTTTTTTGACCTCTTCTAATCCCAAAAAGGTTTTACTTACGGCCATTAGGAAGAAACATTTTTCTGTTTCGTGGAAAAAAGATACAAACAGTGTAAGTAATAGTCACTCAGTATTTCTGACGAAGGTTAATTATATATTATTTAAACATATTATATTATAATGTACAAATTCAAATGACATATTTTATTAATTAATAATTTATTATTTATTAGCTAATTTATGATTTTTTTTATATACAAAAGTTTAATTAAAAATGCACTAATAATAATTTTGAAAAATCAAATTTTGATAATTAGATAAATACCGAAAGAAACCAAAAGTTGAGAGGTAAATAAAATACCTTCCGAAATAAAATAATATTTTTAATACTAACGAATACAAAAAACAATTATTGTAAAACCTATTTTAGCAAATGTGCATCTTTCCTGTATACATTCACGTATTGATCATACTCAGAAATGTTTTTCTTAGTAGTCAGTATCCGTAATTCAAAACACATCAATAAAATCCCATCTTTTATCATTTCTAACTGGTATGTTTTAAATCCGTACATTTCATGAGGTACCTGTAACATATAAATAAATCTAAATGAGAAAAACTTTGTGGTTTAACGAAAAATGGGGTAAATAGTTTGTAAGTTACTGTTTTCTTCAGTATACACGATTCTTAAGCTTTATTAAGCATCAAATTATTACAGAATTATAGATCTATGAAAACGTATCTGTTTTATCACACATTTAGTTAAAAAAAATTGTATAATGCAATTCACACAAAATACGTTATTATAATAAACCAAACGATGTGTTTTGCATCGCTTTCACTATCTTGGTGCAAACCTCACATTGCATTTGTTACTTAGCTCTCCTCTTCTGAGTAGATCATCTGCAAAAATGATTTCCAAAGTGTTAAAGCTGTTATATACGTACTTGTAAAAGAGCGAAGTCTATTTTTAATCCCTTAATGTAGTAATCACCAGCTAAAATTGGACAGATGGGTTCTGAATCTGGTCTTCCATAGTAGTATAATATGTCTGCTAATTTGCACAAACTGCGTTGGTTCAGGAAAATAGTCACTGGTTGTTGTGGAAGTACAGGTTTTTCTACAAAAAAAGTAATTAAATAATTTTTTCTCTTAAAGTTGGTATACGAGGGTACGTTGGTATTTTTATTTTATTAAGAATATGATTTAGCAAGTTGTTTTAATATTTCCATACTTTGTTATTGGACAAACATGTATTGCTTGACAGTATCTTTTTCTTAATTTCTTGTCATTTAATGTTAAGAGTTAAATTAAATATTAAATTGGAAGCCAGAAAAACACATTTTTAGCAAGGACTAGATTTCAAGATTTCTGCCTTTTATTATTGTATGTTGCTGTAAAGCAATTTTGTGACTTACTGATAGGAAACCAGTTTTAATCATTCATTTTATGTTTTCTTTCGAACAAAAATGAAAATATAAATAACAATCCTTCTGTTTATACATTTTAACTTCACTCTATTATTTAATGGTATTTTTTTATTTTGACAGAATGGGTTAATTCTTTAAAGATAACTTACTAGACTTAGGCAACTTTTCATACATTTTCCCGTAAATACTGTTGCCTGCTTATATTTTATTATTGATTTTTGTTAATTATACTTACTTCTTTTTAGTTTAAGTTTAATAAAAATATATAATAATAAATAAATGTTTCACTTGTTATACAAATCCATATACTTTTATTAAAACTTACATATATACTATTTAATTACGAATTCTATTAAAAATTGTATTGTCGTATATGTACGTTATATCAATATTAATTATTTTAATATTATTTTTAAACAATGTTGATAATTTTGTTAAATATACGTATACTATTAATGTTAGTTTAAATTAAATACAAGTAGTGTAGTGTAGAAAACTTTATTTTATTGTAAGCTTTTAACGTTTAGTTAATAATGCACACAAAATATCTACAATATTTTAATATTATTTTTAAACGGTATTTTTTGTTTCAACGAAAGCTAAAAACTTTGTTAAATAAATATGTATAATACTAACGTTTGTTTAAATTACATAAGAAATCATAATGAAAACGTTATTCTATCGGAACACTTTAACGTATCGTTTATATTTGAAACTAAAAATTAACGATATTTTACTATTAATTATTTAACCATATTTTGATCACATTTTTAAATGCTGGTAAATATACGTATAATATAAATATTAAATTAAATAAAAGTCGTATTGAAAACGCTGTTGAATTCGAACCTTTTAACGTTTGGTTAATAACGTAAACCAAATATCTACGTTGTTTCAATATAAATTATTTAACTATTTATTTAAGGGTTGTTATGTAACTAAAACTTTATAATTTTGTTAAATACATTTAAATTATTTAAACGTCGCGCGTCGTAATGAAAACGTTGTATTTAAACACTTCACTGTTTGGTAAATGTTATTCTGTGAAAGTGGCTAAAGTACCTACCCAGAACATTTAAATTTTATATCTAACTATAAATATTAGGCATTTAAAACAAAATGGCTTCCCGTGAGTAATGATAGGTCATAAAATGACAATCTTGTGGGCCTGGTGATTTGACAGGATCAATGATATAGATAATTATATATAGATTGATCATTCAATTTTTCATGATAAACATAAGCTTATGCCTTGCAGTAAAAATGTAGGTAATTATTTTTTTACTATGTTCAAGGTCTGAAAATTGGTTTTTAAACACATTTTTGCTAAACTGATTCTCATTAGTGAGCACTTGCCAGGCAATATGTCCGCTTGCAAAACGAGCCGCTTCGAGTAATCTATATATGTCTCAGTGACCCTGTCAAAGACAACAGGCCCACATGATGGTTAAATCATAACCTGTCATTGCCCACGGGCAGCATTTTTTACATGTCGTTGGAATGCCTAATTATGATTTTTCTAGAAGACTCGTTATTACAGTGTAATTTTGACTAGTATGTTAAATTTATCGATTCTACATAGTCATACGGTGGCTAAAAAATATTAATTACCTACCCTGGTACCTACATACATGTAAAATTAATAATATATAATCGAGAATTCGAATAATGCATTAATCTGATCAAGCAATTTATTCTAGAATTAAACTTTTGCCGAAATTCGTAATTAACTTCAAAGGCTAATTCAGATCGCAAAACTAAATATTAAATTCCATACGTCCCGCGTTTGTTCAAATAATTACCGAACCATTTACTATATTTTTGAATCCATCAGCGTTTAATAGTAGAAAACAATGCAAACGACAAATACCTAACGAAATGAATAATAATAATAATTATTATTATTATTAAAACAACGATGTTGCTACCACGTTTGCAAAGCAACGGGCTGAACTTTATTTGCATTAAATTAATTAAGCCAAAAAAAATGTATCCCAATGTAAAACACAACACATACATACAGGGTGTTTCAGATTTAAACGGATTGAGCTTAATGGGAGGTAGAGTATATTTAGCTGAGTTCCAAACATTCCCATACTTAGTCTTTAACCTCACTCTTTTCTGAGATATAGGGAGTTTTATGATTTTTGCCAAAACTAATGGCCATTTTGTTTGAAGAGCTAGAGATATTTTCATAAAATTTTGTACAAGAGTAACACTCTCTTAGGTTAATCAAAGCCATAGTTTAATTTTTAAAAAATTCCAGGACCCGATATTTGAATAATATTTAAAGGCACCATCTTGATTTTCTTACAGTAAATTTTTAAAATGGCAACTACAATATTAAAAATCAGTATTTACAAAATTGATATCAAATATTTTACTCTGTATTTTTAAAACTCTACACAAAGTAGATACCATCTTCATTTATTTTTAACTACTGCATTTACCAATAAGGAACGGGCTCACTTTATTTGATAAAGTAACAGAACAAACTAATAGAAACAAATAATTAATTAATACTAAAGTAGATTTTTTAAATAAACACCGTGAACGTCAATACACCTCTGCGAACGTTTTAACAGGTTTTTCACTGATTTGTCAATTATTTCCGGTTTATTTCCAATATTGTTGCATACATTATTAATTTTTTCCATTAACTGTGCTAGGGTATTCATTTCTCCGTTGTACACCTCTGATTTAAGGTAGCCCCATAAAAAACAATCCAGAGGTGTTAGATCCGGAGATCTTGGTGGCCAATTGACGGGACCGCTTTGATCTATCATGTTGAAACCACACAAATGATTTTTATAAAATTTATAAAAATTATTGTATTTATACACCATATATTTATAGAAAATCTATATTGGGAATATTTTTGTGATACAGTGTGAGGATTTTCAGTTGGCCAATATGACCATTCCTAGTGTTATTGATCCCATCACGTGTAAATTGGAATTCATCAGTAAATAAAATTCTCGATATTATCCTTCTGTGGGCCATCTACAAAAAGATAAGCAGGGTACGTCGTCTCCGTGTTCAAGTCGCTGTACTTTTTGTACATGAAACGGATGCAATTTTTTTTTTTTAAGTTTTTCATACTCTTATTATCGGTACTGATAATTCATTACTAATTCTTCTAACACTGATAGAAGGATTATTTCTAGCTATATGTAATATCTCCTCTTTTTGTCGAAGATTATTTCTCGGAGCATGTTCATATTCAACTGTAGTTGGAAACTTTCCATGTTATTTACTAAATTCGAAAAACTGTAAAAATGTTTTAGAATTTGGTAAACGGCAATTAAAGCGTCTGCGATACTCTTTTACTGCTGCTGCCGTTTTCTTTATAAAAATCGAACAGAAAAATAATGTCTGCATATTCTTCATTACTAAATTGAAACGGCATCCTGAAATACTTATTTTCATACCATTAGAAACTTACACTCATGAACAAAAGTAATTTAGCTCAAAATACTGTACATATTATTTGACTCAAGCCTACTGGTATTATACAATTATACATTAATTATGTTTAAGACGGAATGAGTGATCGTGTTATTTGGCGCATATTGGCAGTTGACCAAATTGAGTTTTCAGCTCGTTTATAAAATACCTAGTTTTTTGTACTTTTAAATTTGATTTCATCAGAGTTTTATTTCGTTTAAGTTTTAGTTCATTTTAATTTCCAAATATAATTACCTAAAGATGAAGAGAGAAATAAATGAGGTAGTTTGAAATCATCTTCCTTTTAGTGTAAGAATTAGTAATGAATAAGCAGTACCTAGATACCAGAGACAAGCGTATGGAGATCTTAAAAAAAATTGAATTTGTATCTATTTATGTACAAAAAGTACAGCGACTTGAACACACATAAAATGTTTGGTGTAGGATTTAAAAAAAAATCATTTAATTCATTAATTAATCAGTGAAAAACCTGTTAAAACGTTTGCAGAAGTTTATTGATGTTCACGGTGTTCATTTTAAAAATCTACTTTAATTTTAATTAATTATATGTTTCTGTTAGTTTGTTCTATTTCTTTATTAAATAAAGTAAGCTGGGTATGTGTAGATGTTTAATTTCCTAATCGAAAATGCTGTAGTTAAAAAAAAATGAAGATCGTACCTAATTTTTGTAGAGTTTTTAAAGTACAAAGTAAAATATTCGATTTTAATATTGTAAATTCTGATTTATAATATTGTAGTCGCCATTATAAAAATCAAGATAGTGCCATTAAATATTAATACAATATTTTATTTATTGATCTACGTAATATTTAAATGTGCAGTAACATTTATTAAAATCTGATATACAGGGTGTTATTCTAGCTAAGAAGAGCAATATAAAAAAAGAGAGTCCGGTCCTGGAATTTTTTTAAATTAAATTATGTCTTTGATTAACCTAAAAGAGTGTAACTTTTATACAAAATTTTATCAAAATATATCTAGCCGTTCAAACAAAATGGCCGACTTTAGTTTTTGCAAAAACACCCTATTCGCTCCGTGCGAAGTCATGGAAAGGGAAGCAAAAGCGATACTAGCGCTAGCTGCGGATAATTCGTGCATTTTAGGGGGATATTTTGTAATTTTGGCATATCAAATACACGTATACATTTTACTTTTTTTCAAAAAAGTAGGTAAAAACCACACAATAAGCAACCGGAGTTGCTGTGTTGAAAATTGTACAAATACTAGCAAAAAAAAAAACAGTGAAACTTATATAACAAATTTCACTAACAAAGTGGAAATTAAATCAAAGAAATAAATGGATAGGTGTACAATAAGAAGAAAAATTACCTTTATTTTTGTGATAATAACAGTAATGCTGGAAATAGTAGACATCAGAAACTAGAAAGTTTTTAAATAAACAATAAATTATCATTTTACGATGTTCTTTAATATCCCTTTATTCTTAAATGTTCATTCAGCAAGAACTAGATTTCAAAATTTCTGCCGTTGATTATAATATTTGGCTGGTATGCAATTTTGTGACTTACTGATCGGAAACCAGTTTTAATCATTCATTCTATATTTTCTTTAGAACAAAAATGAAAATATAAGTAGCGATCCTTTTTATACATTTTAACTTCACGCTATTATAAATGGTTTCTTCAATGACAACTTATTAGACTTAGGCAACTTCTCATACATTTTCCAGTAAATACTGTTGCCTGCCTATATTTTATTATTGATTTTTAATGATTATACATAATTTTCTTCAATTTAAGCGTGAAAAATATATAATAATAATAAATTAATGTTTTAATTGTTTTATAAATCCATATACTTTTATTAAAACTAACATATATACTTTTTATTTACGAATTCTATTAAAAATTGTATTTGTCAGTATAGGCAGAAATACTCCTTTAATACCAAAACAAATTGGCGCTGCTGTCGCGCACGGAGCGAATATCTCAGAAAATAGTAAGATTAAAGTCTAAGTATGGGGTGTTTTGAACTTAGCTAAGTGTTCTCTACCTCCCATTAACCTGTGTCCGTTTAAACCTGAAATACCCTGTATATATAATTTATAAGAAAGCACGAAATCTTTTTAAGAAAGTTGGTAGAATTCGAAATAAAAGGCAACTTGAAATAGTTTTTACCTCTCCCATCCTAATAGTGTAGAGCCAATCAATCGAAATTGTGCTTTCTCTGGAGGGCTAAGTGTGACAAGCTAAAGTGTCATTTAATTTAAAATTAATATTTTGGAGATTCTAATGTTGGGGGTAATCCAAAATTAAACTGTGCAAAAGGGCAATAAAAATCCTTTTACCAGTTACGTAGATGTATTATTTTAAACATTTAAAAAACCATTAGGGCTGACTCTACGGCCCAAAAAACTAAAATGCGATTTACTAAAAATTTTTTGTAAAATATTCTTTGATCCTTCTATACACGGGACCTTGAATTTTGAACAAAAAAATAACTGTTATTTAAAAATTCGTGAATTCGTTAAAGAGGGCAAAAAAAGTTTTTTTAAATCGTCTTCATTTTCCGAAAATATTTTTAAATTTTTTCCAAGGTCCGGGCTATAACGACGTTTTTACTAGTCAAGAATTTTGTTTTTAGAATACCACAAGGGTTGGAATGTCAACCACGACTCGCCTCTTTTTATGGCCCCCACTTCCCAACATTATAAATTTTATGATTTTTTTTTTCAACACTATTTCGAATTCTTAAATTATTACTAAAAATTATGTAAAAAATGGATAGTAAAAATGTTTCTAGTTTGTTTTTGTTCTACCCGGGAAAACGTCTGGAATTTAGGCTTCTAGACCAGAATACTGTAACGATAGTTTAATTTGAAAATAGTTTATTTATAATTTATTTACACTACATACTTATTAATTTATTTATACATAAGCACTGTTATTTATATTTCTAATTTATGTAACACATTTATACTGATACTAATTTATATCATATTTACTGCTATGATTGGACTTTTACTGAATAACTTCCTGTGCAACACAGCCCATTTATATGCGCTGGATTATTCTCGTTCTCACCATTAATTAGATAGGCGACTCCGGCAATTCCTGAAATTCACTTATAGTACATTCTCGAATGAATGATTCATACTGGCTACCTGTGAGGATAGCCGTCTCTATAGTTGGGTAAAGGGGATTTATCTACTTCATCAAATTTTCTTGGTTTTAAGGACAAGTGGGGTCGTAAATATGCCCAAAAAATGCAGAGGGACTCAGAGGATTAGAACATGACTAGAATGCTCACAATACAATATTAATTTTTAAAGTGATTCTTTAATTTTAATTTACGTGAAGATTGATCAAAATTCGATCAAAAGTCAAGAGATGTAAAACTTAGATAATTAATTAATAAAAAAAAAATTAATAAAATTTCACCAGTGGCGTGCGACTGAAAATGTATTATTTTTGTAAATTTTAAACAACCTGTAACTTTACTGCTCATAGAGATTATTAATTGTTTAAAATTATGAGATCTATAAGGTGCCTTAGTTTGTTTTATATATTTTAGAACACCCTTTAAATTATATGACCTTTGAAATAGGGATGAATTTATTAATCCCTATTAAATACTAAAAAAAATAATGTGTTACGAGTAAAATTAGATTGATAAAATATTTAACTAAAATATCCCTCTCCCAACTTTAATAATTACATTCCTATAATTAAAGAGGATGGATATTTATGTTTTTATTAGAAAAATTCCAATTTTTAAAGTTTGTGTAATAATCGTATTAAAATTTCTCCTCATTTTCAGAGTCTTCTCTGTCCTCTTCAAAAACTGGATTTGACAGCTGGGAGGTCTATTTTTCGTTTTAAGGAGTTTAACCAAATATTGGTTTGCTAGGACTCTCTTAGAACATAAAAGCGTAAGGAATAGTCTTGGGAGTAGCCTATATAACATCGTTATTATGGCTATTAAACATCATAATACAAAAACAGAAAGAACATCGGATGTTGGCGAATATAATTTTATTACAATTTTTTTAATATTATTATACCTTCGGAAAAGTCGACAATTCCAAATCCATTTAAATATTCGGATTAATGGAGAAATGTTTTCCATTAGGTCTTTTTTTGCCATTCCAGTAAATTGACTCGTATCACATCCTGTTAACGTATGGAAAGCAGGTAGGCTTTTCGTTAGACTGTCGTTAAGGCCTATTTTATGAACTGCCACGTAACGAGTACAAGTTTCTATTCCGGCTGTTAACCAAATTTCGCACGGTAAAAAGTTTTTAAAATATACCAGAAGAATAAGCACATCGGTAACGTTAGAGTCGATAATGCATGTAGAAAAACCTTAAGTTCTAGCAGTGAGTGTGTAAAGCGGAATTCTAGTACCTATTAGCTTCTTTATAGTTTGATTCGAATAGTCTTTTTTTCACAAACATTGGTTTTAAAGTCTGTAATGTTATTAACTCCGCCACTCGTTACAAATTGTATCTTATGGAATCCGTAAGCAGCAAGTTCATTAGATAAAAAGTTGCTTGGCGACTGTTTTGTATTAAATATTCAGTGAATAAATAAATTCCATTGTTGTGGAAACGGGATGTCTCAATTAGTAATAATCCGAATAATTGATTTGGAAGATCCTCTCCTTTTTTGACGAGCAACATCTTTAATCGAATTTTCTGTGTAATTTTAAATATAAAATCAGAATTAATTACTCCTGTAAAAAGACAAATATCTTTTAGAAGTCTGGGTGAAAATGCTATTGGTAATCTGCAAAACTATTTTCGACATAATCGTAATTTTAATGAACTAAGCAACTACGCAAATATTAATGACATGTTAAATGATTTCTATGGTGCTATTAATTTTGCAATCGATAAATTTTGTCCAATGGTTAAGAAAATAGTTTGTTTAAATCAAAATAGGAAATGTAAATGGATTACCACAGCGACAATTGAAATGGGTAATAGATTAAAAAACCTGCATTGGTTAAAACAGAATTTTTATGATAAACATTTAGAATTAGAATACAAAACTCAATTTAAAAACTATAAACAAAAACTAAAACGTGATAAAATATTTTATTATCAAAATTCAATTGACAATAAGACGAACCCTATTGAAATGCAAAAATACGTATGGAAACTAGTTAAAGAAAAAAGCGGCAGAATAAAGACAAATCAACAAATTGCGCTAGTATCGCTTTTGCTTTCCCTAACATGACTTCGCACTGTTCGAATAGATTGCAGCCATGTTTAAACATGCCATAGCTAAACGTTCTTTCGATTAACTCTGCCGTTGGTGAAAGAGCCATAAATATTTTTTAAACCACTTTGTATGTCTGGATAAAATTGACAATATTTGGATGCTATATCATTAATGGAGAGCTCATTGTGTGTAGAAAGCTCTTTCGTACTCCAGTTTGGTATTCGTCCTCAAAATTGTCGATTCCAAATTTTTCCACTACTTTCATTTTCTAATTGGCTTAAGGACAAACTAAGAGAGTCTTCGGAAAAGCGTGATGTAAGCGACGTAATAAGGGAATCCAGATATGCAATAAATATATTCAACCTATAATATTCTTCAACTATATTAGCCTGAATATTATTATTTCTATATGAGATTGTTGTTCGTAAGGCATATCTTACGCGTTGTTGATTAAGTCGCTAAAAGCCAGGGGGGGGGCAACTGTCCCCCCTTGCCCCCCCAAACGACGCCCATGCCTTCCGGTTCAGTGGGTAGAAGGGCTCACCTTTTTCATAGTCCGATTCATTGAAGAACAAAAAACAAAGGTTCTCTCACGTATTATAGTTTTTTGTATTTAATTCTCTGTTTGTTCTTCTCAAGGGCTCCCTGCCTGACCGAGGACCCATTGCCTGAACGAAAGCCTACCAGCAGACCCAATCCGACACTGATTGTCTTTAACACGTTTAACTCCTAGCTCTAATAATATTATAGTTGAAAAAGTAATTTATCAAAAATAAAAAATCGTACCTCTTAAGTTGATTTTAACAGATTCGTCGATATCTGTATTCAGCGACATATTGCCGGTGAGAGTTTTGTCATCTTCGTCTATCGAATAGTCCAAAATAATGTCGAATTCTTCATAGTTAGGACATTTTGTTATGGATTGGATGCGAATATCCGCAGGACCCACCATCTGAAAATATTAAAAATACAGTAGTTTCTTTTTATTTATTTTTATTTTGTAAAATTATTGTTTTTAGAACATTATGTTTAAAAAGTTATGTTTAATCAAGTGGCGCTCAACATAGGGAGAGTGATCGATAAAAAAGAGAAATTAATATCATAAATACCCTCAAAACTTTAATTTGTATTTGCTAAGTTTGTGAAAACAAATATGTCTTACTAAACGTGGTAAAAATACAATTTTTTTTATCTTCAAATCGATGATACCTATAATTAGTTACTTACATAAAAAGCCTTTGTCAATTCAACCACTAAAAATAACACATTTAATAACAAATATACGGTTATTGTTCCAGTAGGTAAAGGTGGACATTTACACATCGTATAGCTTTTTACTAATTGCTAAAAATGAAAAGTTATAAATGATTGACTTAAAAATACGGTTTAATGCGTTTAATGAAAAAACTAATACTAATCGATGTCAAATTACATCCGGTAAAATGGCGGTTTCGTTCATTAGCGTAACCGCAGAAATTACTAAGGGTTCTTCTAATTCATGATCATGAAAACTCCTGTAGTCTTTTTAGAATCATTGTAAATATTTAATAGTAGAACTCACAAAGCGCAATCTCTAGGTCTAATAATATTATTTGATTTTTATATTTTGGAATAAATAAAATTACAGATATGTAAGAAATATATCAAACTATTTACTGTTATTAAAATAAGATAATGTTTTTTCTTGTAATATACAAATCATTACTAATCATCGTGATTCGTAAAAAAATTCTATCATTTCCCTTAATCCAAAACCCTATTGCTGTTAGAGTTAATAAATTATAATAGCAATAATTTCCAATCAATAAGAAACCTTGTCTCCATCTCTCGCTTTCATACCATTTAAAAATTTATTTTTCTGTGTGTTTAATAAAAATTTTACAGAGTTGAGGAGTAATGTCGTGCGAAACCGACCCTTGACATTGATGCTGTGCGGTTCGAAGTGTGGAGAAAGCTTTTGAGATTCTTCTAGCCGGACTGGTTCTTTCTAAGCCGATACATTTTTATATAAATAAAGCGACTTTGTCGATAGAAATTAAGTTTCGATATAAATGTTGTAAAGATAAATAATTGTAAAAATTATTAATTATAAGTGTGAATTGTAATAGTTCCTAAGTATTAAATAAATTAAATAGTACGTTTTAAATTAATAAACTATTTTTTAAACAATTGTTACATTGGTGTTAGAAGTGGAACTTTAAATAAATAGTGGACAAAAAAAAATGACTAAAAAACTGTGTCATTTAAAAGTGACGGAGTTACGTCGAGAGTTAGAATATCGTAAGCTGCAGATGGCAGGGAAGAAAACAGAGCTGGCATAGCAGCTTAAAGAAGCAATAGAAAGTGAAGGTATGAATCGTATCTATTTTCTGATGATGCGTATTCTATAATTTCTGATTTGAAAAGTATTTTTTTTCCTTTAAAACAAAAGTTTTGCTCTGACATTTCTTCTTTAGATCATAGGGTTTCTTCTTTAGAAAATAAAGTTTCTTCTGATATTTCTTTGATGGAAAATAAAGTATTTTCTTTTATAAAAAATAATTTTTCCTCATTAAAAACCAAAGTTTCTTCTAACATTACTTCCTTGAAAACTAAAGTTTCTTTTGACATTACTTCCTTAAAAAGTAAAGTTTCGTCTGATATTTCTTCCTTAGAAGGAAAGGTGACTTCTGACGTATCTTCTTTATAAACCGATTTTTTTCCGATTTAGAAAACAAAATATGTTCATTGTAAGATGACATTTCTTTTGATATGTCTTCTCTAAAAAATTAAATATCTGCCAATGTAGTAAATAAGATGTCTACGGTAGAGGAGAAAATTAAAGAGATAGGAAAAAAGATAGAAGAATTGGAACATACATGCCAAGAATGGTGAAATAAAGTGCCGTGAGGTGGAGTCAAAGTTAAAATTGGAATGATTTGTAAATTATGCCCGTGTTAAAGCTCCAACTTTCTAGAAGATGTCTTGGACCAACTACCTATAACAATTCGAAGCTGCCAGAGTAAACGAATGGTGTGAAAGGGAAAAGGCAATTAATTTGACCATCGCATTGTGTTATGGCCACGAACACTTGGAGCATTTATACTAATAACAATTAAAGAATTGGAAATAAGACGAAACCCTACAAGAATATGGAGTAGATATTGCCAGGTTAGTGCGATTTGCCTACCCATCAGCTCTAGAAAATATGATGGAAAGTTTGACAGTCCAAACATTTGTCGATGGACTCCGTAACCGCTAAATCCGCCTAGCCCATCACAAAACATTGGTCGATGTCTTGTCCGCTGCTCTAGAGTTTAAGGCAGCTACATAGGCTTCTGAAGTAAAGTGATGACTGTAAAAGAAAAAGACGTGGAAGATAAACTCGACCAACTAGTTAACATAATGAAGAGCTTTGCCGACAAAAAGATAAAGACGAAGACCATCAGGTGCTGAGATTACGGTGACTGGGTCACAATAAATGAAGACAACACGCCGCAGGAAAACTAGAGCGTGTCGGCCTAAAGATGGCAGCTTTAATCCGAAACCGTTCTAAAGATCCTCTTATACTGATAAACGGTAGAAAATATACACTGTTGGTGGATACTGGAACAACTAGGATCATTGTACAACCAACAAATATAAATAATCGCAAGCTAATTTTACCAACAAGTTTGCGATTGCGGACTGACAGATGAAAGTGCCAACATCCAGGTCCAATTAGGAATTGGTACTGAAAAGTTTAGGAAGAAGCTTTGGTACCTGGCAGAAGTGAAATCATTATAGTAGCATGGCTTCGAGAAACTATGGAAGAAGAAACACATGTCATGATGGAATCTTGGAACCACGATAAACAGGTTGGACGTGGATTTATGATCGGAAAGGGATTGGTCACGACTGCTAAATAAATTCCCGTATGTCTTATAAACGTTAATGATCACTTAATTACCAACAAGAAACAGACCAGAAGTAGAACCTGTGTACCAGTAACTCCATAATTCGCCAGAAAACAACTTGTGATAATTCCAATGATAAATTCGAGCAAATGATGCCGTTGCTGGTCAATCTCTGAATCAATTTGAGAAAAAGAAAACAAATTGAAATTTTTCGATGATATCGTAACATTTTTGTACCAAAAGGAGAAAACGCAGGAAGAACTTCTGTTGTAAAACATAAAATTGACACTGGTGGCGCCATACCGATTCATCAATCAGCTCGAAGATTAGCAAAAGTCAAGAAAGAGGAAGCGGAAGGGATTGTTTTTCATGCTTAATCAAATGAATAAAACCATTCTAACGATTTGAATTTTATTGTTATAGAAAGACAGTTATTTCTAAAAGGAGTTACGGAGGAGGAAATAATATAAATTATTAAACAGAAATGAAAAAATAGATATTGATCACAACAAATATCTAATAAAATAACCACACTATTAACTTATAAATGAATCTTTCCTTTAACGTATGATTCTAAATAATTTAAAAAATAACGCTAGTTTGAGATTTTTCGTGAAAAAATTTAAAAGCATACATAAATGATTTTTTTTCTCAATAACACCTAAGCTATTTGTTTTTCGACTATATTTTTTATAAGTTCACCAAATGACTTTCCAATAAAGTTCAATATTTACCCCTGATGAAATATAAGGTCGGATCTCATCAATACTTCGCAAGTATCTGAAACCCGATACACTACGCTTGACTGGGTACGGTCCATCTAATCTAAAAGTATGAATTAAAAATAAAGAATTTCCACATTTGTTATTCTTTATATACAGGCTGTTTCTTTTATCATATACCAACATGGCTATAGTATTTTAATACAAATGCCGATGGACGACATATAGATCATTTATGAAGTCACAACCTTGCAGTGTTGTCTAAAAAACATTTGGTATAGAACGCCTCTGGCATTTATAGAAATTAATCAAAAAAGTTGCGTCACTTATAGTTGCTTTGATCACAAACCAAAAATTGTTATTAGACGCTACCACGTGAACGCTAGCTCGCAGATTGTTGGCTGATCCTACCGACGCGAAGACCTGCGTGAAGTTGGCCCTACCATGTTATGATAATTACACCAAAGTTGTACCAATATTTTGCAACTAATTTGCAACTTTAGGCAACCGGTATAAAAAAGTTTGCAACCTTATATTTTTGTTCTAATCGCTAAAACAAAATTGGTGGGGCCAAATTCACGCAGCCCCACCACATCGTCGTATTGACCTCGAATCTTTTTCATAATTTAGCAACTAATTTGCAACTTTAGACAACCTTCGTGAAAAAATTTGCAACCTCGTGGTTACACCGAAAACGAATCCCTAAGTAGATGGTGAGAAATTTGCGCAACCCCACCACATCGTCATATTGACCTCGAACCTTTTTCATAATTTAGCAACTAATTTGCAACTTCAGGCAACCTTCGTGAAAAAATTTGCAACGTCGTGGTTACGCCAGAAACGAATTCCTAAGTTGGTGGGGCCAAATTCACGCGGCCCCACCACATCGTCGTAGTGACCTCGAATCTTTTTCATAATTTAGCAACTAATTTGCAACTTTAGACAACCTTTGTGAAAAAATTTGCAACCTCGTGGTTACGCCGGAAGCGAATTCCTACAAAGAAAGGATATAATGAATTTGGAAATGATTATTATTATCATCACAGAAACTAGGTAATATTAATAAAAATAATATTTTCATCGTTATAAATGATAATTTAATACTTTGAAAATTTGTATTACGGAATTCAATTTGTTAAGTCCCAACGTCTTGTTTAATTAAAATTGCTTTAAATTTTACAGAAATGCTCTCCTCAAAATGTTTTGTTTTGTTTAATTATGATTGGCGTGTCAGATGCAAAAATGTTGGCCTTAAAAAATTCGAGGTCTATACGACGATGTGGTGGGGCCGCGTGAATTTCCCCCCCTTCCAACCACGAGGTTCCAAATGTTTTCACAAAAATTGCCTAAAGTTGCAAATTAGTTGCTAAATTATGAAAAAGGTTCAAGGTCAATACTACGATGTGGTGAGGCTGCGTGAATTTGGCCCTATCAACTTAGGGAGTCGTTTCCGGCGTAACCACGAGGTTGCAAATTTTTTCACGAAGGTTGCCTAAGGTTACAAATTAGTTGCTAAATTATAAAAAAGGTTCGAGGTCTATACGACGATGTGGTGGGGCCGCGTGAATTTGGACCCCTATCCAACCACGAGGTTTCAAATGTTTTCAGGAAGGTTGCCTAAAGTTGCAAATTAGTTGCTAAATTATGAAAAAGGTTCGAGGTCAATACGAAGATGTGGTGAGGCCGCGTGAATTTGGCCCTATCAACTTAGGGAGTCGTTTCCGGCGTAACCACGAGGTTGCAAATTTTTTCACGAAGGTTGCCTAAAGTTACAAATTAGTTGCTAAATTATAA